ACACTGTATCTACTCATATTACCATTCCCATAATACCAAGGACAATTTAATTAATGATTCTAGATGTCTCTGTTTCCCTCCAGTGTTCAACATCATGTCATATGTTTATATCTTGATAATAGTGATTTGTCACTCTCCACATTTTGTCTTTGTGAAACCAGCCCTAGTTCTATTTTAACATTATTGTAACATGCCATGTGTACATCTAAAGAATTAATGGAGACTGCAATCATCCCCTTTCTTCATACTGGCTATAAAAGTGATTCATTCCTAATGCAACTCAAAAGCCACGGTCCTTTGTAGGAGCAAAAATGCAATGCAAATACATATCCTGTTCATACTTAAAGACAAACAGCAGATGTCTCAGAACAGGGTAGTCTGTGTTGTGCTTAGCAAGCAGCAGTTTCCAGAGGGCAGATAGAGGTGTACTATTCAGTATGGTATATAACAGCAAAGCCTGAGTTACTCGGGGTTGGGGGACCTCATGGCCACTAAACTACTTGTTCCTTTACACTCAGGACTGGAATAAATTACTTCTGCATATTACAATAATAAGTAACCAATATAGTGTTAAAAAGAAGACCAAACTTTTAATTATGGGAATGCAATAGGTGCAGGAATATTATCCTAGTTTTTATAAGTTAATGCTTGTATGTTTCACAGGTATTAACTGTGTTGGTTTGATGGTAATATGATGTTGCCTTGCCACCTGAACTGCTCTGCTATCTTTACATCTACTAACACTATGCTGGAGGTTTTCTTCACAGCATGCCATAGCAGGAAAAACACAGGTGTAACTGATAATTGATAACATTACAAATGACTGTATCCCATATATAGGAGTTTTTTCATTATAGGAACCAACAGAAATGTGCTGAGCCGAGAAAGGCTCGTCATGGGTCCTGCATTAGTTTCCACTGCCCACCACCTGCTTTGGAGGTGCATTCCAGGAGCTACATTTCACGACCCCTCAGGAGGGGTGTGCCAGTAACTTGGGGCAGTTGTCTGTGACTGGTTAAATGTCCATGTCTTCATACCTCAAGCATTAGCATTACAGGCACTGGTGTGTAAACACACAGCTGAGTGTATGTGTGAGAAAGGAGCAGCCCCTCCCTCCTCTAAACACAGACCGACAGAGAAAATACAGTGGAAAAACAATACAGGATGGTCTATGCCAGCCCAGGAGGTTATGCAGGGTGAAGTACTGGGTATACCACTCGTTAGGTTCCAATAGTAGAAACGTTGCATATGTGAGCCAGTTCTAGGATCCCACTGTACAGGCTGACTCACTGTAATGACATGATTCTCAAGCCATCACTAATTAAATGTGTTTCACCTGTGACTTTCCAGCTATGAAAATGGTAATAAATTCTGGACCTTTGCATTTAGTCACAGAATGTGTGATTTAATCCCCATGTAATTTAAGACTATTTTTTAGCCTGAAATTTCCTCTTTATGTTTCTATGGCCAATATTTCTTTTCTAAACCATGTCAGAAAGATACCGCTGTGATATGCCAGAATAATCATTTCATTTATGTTACTGAGATTCTCTTGAGAATTAACTGATGTCTCTTAATGGCTAAGCAGACCAAGGGACCATCTTTCTGTTCCAAATGAAGTCTTGTACATGTGCAACAATCACAAACACAGGCTTTCACACTTAACAAAGCAAAACTAAAAGTCTGCCGATGCAAACTAAGCACATGAAACAATCAAAAATAGTTCCCTTCATGTGTAGATAGCAGGATAAGCATTTGAGCGATGACACATATGAGTGCAAGAGGAATGAACTGTGGAATCCAAATACAGAGAAGAAAATGACTTGACAAACAAAAAAAAAGATGGAAAAAAATAGCAAGTAACAAAAAGACACTGGTGCAACATATGACATGTTGCAGTGTTTTCTCAGAATATACAGTGAGATGAAAATGGAAGCTACCAGCACACTCGGAAAGAATAAAGGTTAAAGCAGCACAGACAGGACCCTTGAAAAGAGAAGCAGAAATAACAAATCGTATACTTTGCAATGTGACTTTGTTGGCTCAAGCTCATTTAGTGTAGTGGGTGATACTTGTTTAAAAAAAACAAGAGGTGAATGATGTGTAGTTATTATATTTCAAAAGTGTACTACTTTTTGTGACCAATTCAGTCATGTAGAGGCAGCAAACAAAATATTTTTAAATCTTTGTTTTAATTAGTGGTTTTCAGAGATTCTTGGAAATTGGGGCTTTTTTTAGCTCTCAAAGGCAATTTTATCTCTGGTACAAATGCACTGTGATCTGTTATTGGGAAATGGATACATCTGTTGTGGTGAGAAAATAAACGTGTACATCTGCTTGCACATATGCATCTCTAAGTCACACACACACAAACACAGGCCACTTTGCCAGGAGGATTCAGTTTTCTCTTTTTACTTCACAGTGACTGTAAATTACAAAGGGACAAATGTGTCCCACAGGTTCTTGTGTTTCTTATGCCTCACACTAACAGAACACTGCAGTCACACAGTACACAAGTAGTGTGGTGGGTTTGCAACACTGAAGAAACATATAAGAATGACTCCTACAAACCCCAGTAGACTGAGACAGACAAATCCAGTGATGCAGGTAGTCTTCTTAGTTCAAAATGATGAGGACGGTGCACTTATGGTGCTTGATTGGTCCAGTCTGCTTAAATCATAGTTGGTCTGGTTTATAAACCTTCAACAAGCAAAATACAATTCCTAGTCCAATTCCAATCTGTGTATGGATATTTTGTTGCTTGGCAGGTAGACTGTTTCTGTGGGTGAGGGTTGTTTCTCAATGTGCCACCATGACCACCTGTTGAAATTTCTTTGCTGCATGGCACCAGTCAGCTTGCCTTTCTGCTTTTTAAAGTTGAGGAGGGGGCTTGTTTTTCTAAATGTTTGGGGATTCAGAAGCCCACTATCTTTGTGGAGACCCACCCTCCTTGTGAGGACCTGATGCTGGTCCCCACAGAGTACGGGCACAGGCAGGAATTTATTTTGGAAGTGGTTCAAGGTAGATAGTTATTTCATGATAACAATTTCAAAAACTGGAAACTACTTCTAATTGGCTTTTATCATTTCTTAAGTGAAACCATGCATGATGTTTAATATAAGACGTGTTTGCAGTCAGGACTTCACTCATGCTCATTCAGGGGAAAAACAGCAATTTCACTGTTCTGTGGCAACGATGCCACATTTCTGCTAGTTTATGTTCTGCTTGTTCAACAGCTGTTTGCTAGCTGCTCATACACTCTCCGTTACTGGCTGATTTTGTTTCACCATAATTTACAAGCATTGTGATCACTGAGTCAAGGCTCTCTGTTCACCTGTGTGTGTGTGTGTGTGTGTGTGTGTGTGTGTGTGTGTGTGTGTGTGTGTGTGTGTGTGGGTGGGAGCTCACCTTCCTATAAACAGACACAAGGGAAAATCTAGTACTGAAGCAAAGTGCACTGGCCACATCAGCCCTTCAAATTCTCATTAGGTTTCCTTGGTGGAAAAACACTATACAATATGTACTGTGCTGTGGAGAACACCTTCTTGCTAGCAACCGCCAGGCACAGCAAGGTAGCGTCTTACAGTACCATCACAGCCATGTGGGAGTATTTACACACTGCTTTTTCACCATGCCCCATTCGTGTGAACACACAACTACTATGTCTGTATCTTTTAAATATCAATAACAGGTCAATAACCCACAAATAACTGAGTAATGACTAAGGCAAGGAGCTACATTGATGGGGGTGTGCTGGTCCCGGTAGGACACAGAAATGTCCATTTGGAGGAGTGGGATTTAGATGTGCGTAAATCTTATTAGATGCCAAAACACAGCACAGTCTTTGTAATACTTACGGACTATAGAGCTCTGGAATGTTATCACAGAGCCAGCTGTTTTTGTCTTTGGTCATGGATCTTGAGTAAACAGCAGAAATACAGCATTCATGTTACACCAGTAATCCACCAAGAATGCACACTAGCATGGACATGATGTGACAGTGCAGAGACTCCGGTTATGTTGAACCATAAAAAATTGGAAAAGTTCAACAAGATCCACCCTTTTTCTGCACAATGATGTGTTACTTTGGCAGAGACCCATTAGTACTGGACCCAGCACATCCCCCATTTCAGTGCATTAAGTTAGACCTGAAAAAAAACTATTTTTGTATATAAAAGTCTTTAAATATGATAATTAATTTACGGTGCTATACTAAAGCATAGGGCTATAACAAGGTCTGTGACACTGTGTCAGGCCAGTAATCCTGATTTATGAGACAATGTCCAAAAATATTGTAGAACAGCTCCTGGTGGGCTCGGTGATAACTGTATTCATAATGCAGAAACTTTTTAAGGCAAACCACATCAAAGAGTAAAGTGGTAATGAATAACCCCATGCTCTGAAAATTGCCTTTGAGAACCTGATACTAATTGAGGTGTTTGTTGATATGGCCTAGTTATGAGAAGCTCCAAGGCGTATGATTTTTACCCTGCTGCTGCTTGTTGCATCACATACTAGAATCTGCTTTGAGGGAAATTTCCTGCCGGTCTTCTCCCAGACCGGCTGTATACAGTGGCTGTGTCAACTTCTGTTTGGGGCAAGAATCCACATGTAAACTTCCACCTCCGCAAAACAAAGAGCCAGAACCGCAGCCAACCTCACTTTCACCCCTGACGAGTCAAAACACCCCCTCCCTTACAATAAGGTTAAGCAGGTCAAGCAAACTAACAACAGGCCAGTGGAGCAAATTACATAAATCGCCACCAAGGAGACAAAGACGACACAGACAGGGGGAGAGTACAGGAAATAATGGTGTGATAGCAGAGACTGAACAGGCGTCAACAGGTTTGACTTTCATTGCTGTTGAATCCATGGAGCCACTTCCCCTATTAGCAGTCAGGAGGCAGAGCAGAGGAGGTGATGAGAGAGGACCTTACTGCTGGGGATGGTGATCTGAATGGCAGCAGAGAGGGGTCGGTCAGGGTCAAGAGGAGTCTTACCTCGAACATAAAGGTTAGCCGGAGCTGAGTAGCGAGTCCCGGCGCTGTTGACTGCCACGCACTCGTACTTGCCCTGGTCCGACTCCTCGCTGTTCTCAATCTGAAGTGCTCCTGGGGAGGGAGGCCAAAATGTCACAGTTCAGGTCTGCACCACACACATTCAAACAATACACACACACAGACATGGTGTTAGAGTAGCCCGATTTAGCCACACTAACACTAGTCATACATACACTATGCGTGCTGAGACGAACCTGACTTCTGCCAACTTGCTTCTTATTTGCTGTAATGTCACAATAAACTGTCAAAGACAATCTCATGAGAGCAATGAGCCTGCAGTTCACAGTCAGGTGTTCTCCACTGACTGCACAAGATCAAAAAGTAAGGCTGGCATTAGTCTAACAGATTGCACTAGGCTACATGCTCCTTTATTGAAAGGATCACAGGCACTGTAGTTTATCTTGTACTCAGCAATCACAAGCTCACAATGTTCAGTAAGAAGCAATCAGCTTGGGACTAGACACTACACACAGGGTCGGGTTATCATGTTTCATTAACATTAATTTAGTTGTACAAACACACCAACTTGTGAAAAGTGCTGTTTGAGGCCAACGAGGTCCTCTATCGTAGCTCATATTATAAGGCACATTGCAGAAATGTCTGCCATGTACAATTATTGCACTGAAACAGTGTGGTTGGCTTGCGATTTTCAACACAAGTTAGGGGTCGTCCAGTAAAAGGCAACAGTTGAACACATCAAAATTTTTTTGGAGCAGACTTTGTCCCACTAGTTTTCAGTCAAGTGTCTGAAGGTGGTCTAAACACAGGCTAGAGGCTTTTCCAATGTGACAAGAAAATTCATGCAGAGAATACTTTTTGAAGGATAAAATATTTTAATGCTTCATATTTCTCACTGTCTGTAATGAATAAGAACAAACTTAGTAAGCTTGTTAGTATGTCCAGTAAGATTGAAGGTAAGCAGCATCATAGAATGACAGGGCTTTGTGAACTTTAGTGATGTATCACATGACTTGCTGCCACTAGGACTGCATATTGCCATTGTGCACTGCCATCGTGTACTGCCTGTGCTTAGAAATCCTTCATAACCTCTAGTGTAACACTCTTAACCAAATCCTTATGATGTTATATAATGTTGTTTGTTGCTTGTCTGTAATATATTGTGTGTGAGTGTTTGTCTGTTAATTGCCATGAAGACAAGAATAATAGTTTATGAAAAAACATGAAACAAAATTACTAATGTAACATTGTTGTGACTAAATCTAAATGAACAGCAGTATCATAAAAACTGTGACTGTTATGACACTTGTGCGCTTGTGTTTCCACTGGACAAAGCCTTTCCCCAATAGGCCTAACCTGCACTTATCGCTTTCCTGAAAGCGCAGACTATTTCTTACTATACACCAAAGTTGTGGTTGGGAGCTTTGATTTTGTGAAGAGAACATGTAAAACAAGCTGTGACTTACCTGAAACCATGATTTCAATCAATTTATTCTAAACACATTGCTAAGAGTTTCACAGCATTTATGAAAACAATCAATATTAAACTTGTCAGTAGTGAAGTTAGATTTGAGATAGAAAACATGAATGTATCTTAAACGATTATGAAATATTAGATACTGGCTGTGAATGTGACACACAGCATGCGATTTTGCAGTGGACAATAAGATGTGAAAAACAAAGTGTTTAAATAAAATGTACATATTTCAGAAATGCACCATGGAATGGGTTTGTAATACAATGTTAAGAGATAGATTACCAAAAAACACAAAATAAATAAATAAAAAGAACCCGCGATTGAAATCATGTGAGTGGTCACATCCCTGGTGGATCTGGTGCAGACAGCAAGCTCAAAGATGGAGGAGGAGGAGCAACCTTCATCTGGGATGCAGCCAGCTTCAGCATTCTGCCTGAGATGTACTGTGTCCTGAACTCACTCTCACATACACACATATACACAGTATGTAGGTAAAACATTGTGTCAAAATGATGATAAAGAAACTATTTTTTTTAAAGAGCTCTTAATTTCTCCCATTGGGTGTCTGTTCAGGAGACTGCGGATCAGTCACTGTTGCTGAAGTGTGAAGATGAGCTCAGTGCAGCAGCAGCTGAATCTCCTTCTTTATTTCTACATTTACACTTGTGATGATTGCCTAGCTCATTCCACATCGGCAAGATGGCAGAGGCCTATTAGAACAAATTGCTTCTCTCTTGAGAGACACTGGTGGATGTTTGCTCTGACCTCTTGCTATGAAAAAGCATCAGTGCTGCTGAGCAAGGGATGATTTCTTACAGATGAAGAATATGAATCCCTAAACAAATTTTTACAAGCTATCGGAACTTCCTCTGCCCTTCAGAAGTTGAACCTTCAATAATGGATTGTGTGTTCCCCCTCTCTACAGTACGCAGCAACAAGTTAAAGCTTTGCACCATAATGATATGCACTTTGCAGACTATTAAGTATGAAAATGGTACGTTATCACCAGTGCATGACAGGTTTCTACCTCATGAAACACATGGGGTAAGTCTTAGCACTATACACATAACAGAATAATCCTGGCCAGCACAAAAAACTAGGGAAGACCATGCACATGCACAGTTGCCTCTTTGTTACTTTAATAATGCAAGAATTATGGTGGTTCTTTGTCTTTGGAGGTCTTTTTTGAAATAAGTCATACCCCACGTGTTTTGTGTAGAAGAAACATGTCACCCAGTACAGCGACATGGCTCAGAGGTGTTTTAATAGTTTCTGGACAACAGTGGAGCTCTGCGGCACAGACAAATAAGCTAAAGCAACACCAAAGCACCAAATGTATTACTAGTTTTAGCCTCTGTATGGGATTTGTAGAGAATAGCAACAGCAGAAAATTACCAGCCTTAAAGTTTAATCCTTTCAGAGTGTGGGTTTGTAGTGTTTGTAGGCCTGTTTTGCTACTTCATGTGTATGGTAAGCAATGCTGGATAAACCCAATGTGGTGCATTCAACCAAATTCACACTGTTCTGTTCCTGGTGAATCCTAGACCTAGAGCACCATTTAGAGTTGAACCAGAAGCCACTTTTCTGAGTCGGGTGCTGAATTTGACAAAGCTAACACTCAGCATATTAAGTGTAAACTCAACCAAAATGAGTACTTTGACTAGCTAGTAAGTTATGTTTCACGGTTTCCTATTGAAATAATTTAAAAACAGAAGACTTTTTGATTGCTGGACTTCATTGTAAATAGCATTTGGTAGCTTAGTGCTAACCCTTTGTTAGCTCAGTGAGAAAAATCTCTTCCGAGACCAAATATACTTCTGAAAGGTTTAGTGCTGAAGGCAGAGAAAGTGCCGGAGAAGGTGAAAAGGACAGAGGGCTGTAAAATGAGGACACACTAGGTGACAGGAGGAGAAAGACAGAGGTGATGGAGGAGAGGGAGCTGTGAGGAAGAGAAGATGCTGTTGTTTTATTTTTTTGTATCCAGCATTCTTACCTCTGATTGGTGTACCACCTGGTGAGGTAATTTGAATGCAAATAAGATTAGAGATAACATTAGTAAAAAGAGAAGACAGAGAAAAAAAGAAAGACAAGAATGGCAGGAGAGCAAAGAGAGGAAAACAATAAAGATAAGAGAGACTGCTATTCTCACCATATAAATATTTATGTCTACTTTGTATTACAGTTGTTAGCTGAGAGGGAGAAAAATAAGTTTAATGATTATTTTCAACCATTTAATTTAATTTTCAAACAAGCAATTATTTAAATAACAATTATGGAAAATGTATTCTTGGCGAAAGCAGTTTTCTTAGGTACAAATCTGTGTTATTTTCCTCACAAGCTTGAATAACCAAAATTGTTTCAATAATGTCACACCCCAGCTACAGCTGCAAGTCTGTCATTTGTGCATCTGTTTCTTTTTACTTTCATATGGTGCTTATTTGCGTTATACACCTGACTCGACAGAACTGGCATCCTGTTGTGTTCATAAATCATCTTATTCTCCACACCTGCCTTTTTCCCTGACAGCACCTGGCTATCAAGCACTTGACCCCTCATCCACCAGCAACAGGTCTGTTTTGGTTCTAACCCAAAGGTGTTTTTCTCTCCTGCAGCTATCCATTATAAGGCAGATAAGCACTCAAGCTGCTTACTCTCCCTCTGATGCAACTGAATGAAAGCTGATGTTGCTACCTCAGTGCTGGAGTACTATCAAGCTCTAAAGTTAGCAAAATATACAGTGCAAGAAAAGGTAATGGCACTGGTTTCCTGGTTTTCTGCATAAACTGGTCATGAAATGTGATCTGCTCCTCACCAAAGTCACAAATATCAACAAACACAATATTTCTGAGATAATAAAAAACAGTCATGATCTTTTATGCCTTTATTGAACACACCTATTAAGCACACCCATTGTTTGGGAAGAACACACAGCACTACGTATGTGCCGCTGTGCTTCCTCTGAACCTGGACCATTGTAGAGGGGGAAATGAATTCCTAAGTTTATCAAGGTATCCTACAGGATAATGTCAGAGTGGCTGTCGGCAAGCTAAAGCTCAGAGCAAGGTGGGTGATGCAGCAGGACAATGACCCTAAATATCAAAGTAAATCTACTACAGGATGGCTTCAGAGACAAAATCCACCTTTTTGAGATTCCCAGTCAGAACCCAGACCTCAGCCCAACAGAGATGCTGTGGAATGACCTCAAGAGAGACGTTCACAACAGACATCCTAAGAATATGGCTGAGCTGTAGCAGCTCTGTAGAAAGAATGGTCCAGAATTCATCCTGAACATTGTGCAGGTCTAATACACAGCTACAGGAAGTGCTTGCTTGAGGTTATTGCTGCCAAAGGTGGTTCAATCAGTTATAAGAGGTTGCTTCCGGCGCCGACAGTGATGGCGACCAAGGCTACTCACGCTCTTTTGTGTTTGTTGTTTTTCTTTGTTTTCTTGGTCTCTTGCAACTCATCCTGGATTATTTTTTACCAGAGAAGAACTGTTAAATATCGGACAAGTCACAGCAAACTACCTTCCTCCGATTTTTGTGAACGAAGAATGCTGTATGTACATTCTGATCGGAGCCGCGCCAGCGATATACGGGACCTGGAAAAAATGCCG